CAGGGAGCCCGATGCAGGGCTCGATCCCAGGACCCTGGGATCATGACCTGAGCCGAAGGCAGATGCTTAACGACTGAGCCACCCAGGCACCCCTTCAGGCAAATTTTAGAGCAGTGGGATTTCTTGATTTAACTAAAAGATATTCTTGGGGTGCCTAGGTGGCTCAGTTGATTGAGCAGCTGACTCTTGATTTCAGCTCGGGTCATGATCTTGGGGTCCTGGAATTGAGCCCTGTGTTGGGCTCCACGCTCAGCGAGGAGTCTGCTTGAGGATTCTCTCTCCCTTTCCCTCTGCCCCTCCCACCACTCTCTCTCTCTCTCTCAAATATATAAATAAATCTTTTTTAAAAAAACATATTCTTAAATAGAGAAATGATTTCTTGTGCACATTCTTAAATGTCTATTGTATACTTTGTGCTAGGCATGAGGTTCATTATTACGGATATGACTCTGCAAAAGACAAACAAGGTATCATACTGCTTCTATAGAACTTTTATTTCAGAGTCAAATGAATTCAGACCTGGAAACCAAGCTTCGGTAGATTTTTCATGACAGGAAAAACTGAGGTGACTGATTATCAGGGTAGGATAATCTCTGCAAAGATACTCTCCAAATAGACTGATCTTTGAATGAGGGGAATTTTTGAAACACTTGTTTCATTTTTTCATCCATCAAACAGCTTTGTGGGGTAGGAGGAGACATACAAATTGGAAACAGACAGAAACTCTTACAGAGTCATGGAGAGGAACAGATCTAGACTGCAAGAGAGAAAGTGATGAGTACCACGAGAGAGACACAGATAAAGAATTCTGTACGTTGATAGCTCACTCCCAGGTCGGGGATGAGGGTGAGGAGAAAAGTGAAGGAAGTAGCAGAGATATTGGAAAAATCAGTGGAATTTGACCTGTACCTGCAAAGATGAATTTGACATTCTGCACAAACATATTCATCATTCCTTGCAGGGGCTTTGCTTAGAGATTTGTCTCTTCTGCTAAATAAATTACAAATAGGAGCAAATCATCTTTTCTATTCTTTGAATGTTATTTATTAGATACATAGTAATTAAACAATTAAGCAGGACTAATTTTTCCTGCATCTTTAATCACCCTTAAATCACCCACTTTTTTGTCTCTTCCTACACATACACACACACACACACACACACACACAGTCCTCCACACACTTCCTCTGCTCTCTTCTCCTTTTTTTTTGCTTCTTAATTACACTTAAATAGGGTGGCATTTGATTTGAAAGACAGGTCCTAACAGTGCAGCTCTTCTTAATATTGTAGCCTCGAATTAAACTTTCCCCCCTGAATTAAATAAGGAAGTTCTTAAAATTTAGTGATACGAAATTAAGGAAAAAACAATAATTCTTCTATAGATCAATTTCCCAAAGCTTCGGCTCAGGCTGGTCACTACACGTGTATTATTTAAATATGACTTGAAAGAAAAGAAAAAAAACTGTAGGTAATAGAATCAGAGCTACCCTCATGATCCCATTAAAATGGTTCTGTCATAACAGACCTCGCAAAATAAGCAAACATGTATGTGCTCTGTAGAGTTATTATTAGTCTAAAGTTTGTTTTAATTTCTCATATATTCTACAGTAATTAATCCACTTAGAAAACTAATAATACTGTAGTCATGGTTTCCAATAATTTTAGGTACTTTTGAGATACTCATTTAAAAAAACACAGTTCAAATTTAACATTCATAGAGCAAGTACCCAAGCATGCATTTTATATTTTTTAAGATGCATGGGAATTTAAGATGAAAAATGATGCTGGGACATTAAAACCCAGACACCACTGTATTATCTTATCTCACATAGGGTTCTAACAAGGCGTAGATATTTGAATTGTGTGCTGTTAAACAAAAGCTCATGGTTAATTTAACTTCCTGATAGTTTCGTATTCGAAAGAAATCTGCCAATAAAAACATATTGAAAATATTAAGCATGCTGTATTAGATAAGATTGCCCCCTAGAAAAAAGGCAAAGGGAAATAAAACCTCCAAAGAAAACATTAGCATTGTTTAAACAATGTTGGGGCGCCCCTTGCTGGCTAGTGTATGTATTACTCAACTCTGCTCACATTCCTTGACTTTTTTGGTAAATTTGGTTGACTTCTTTTTTGGGGGGTGTGGATTATTTCTAAAATTTTACATTCCAATATATATCTCTTCTGGATGTTATGTTTAGTGGGTAGATTTTTTTTTTTGTTGGTCTTGGTAAGATTCAAAGGCAAGTGTAATGCATTTCCAATTTCTTCCTGGCTTCCTAGTTTGTCCACCTTCTCCTTTTTTGCCTTTGCTCTGCAAACTGCTCATCTCTCCCTGCAGGTTATGCTACCCTGCTTGCTTTGCTGGACTTGCCTTGATTTTTTAAATAATTGGTCTCACTTCCTGTGGGTTTGGTTTCTGTGGGTTTTGGTGACAACCCTTTGATGACATGTCTTTGGCTCTTTTTGCCGGTCACTTCCCTGGATGGCTTGAAGCAGAGGCCCAGGCCCCAGGCTGACTTCTCCCTGAAGTCCCAGGAGGTATCATGTCTAGTAGACCTCCCTCTTTCTCCATTTACTGTAAATCAAAGTTTTATTAAGACAACTTTCTAATCTTCCATAGAGCATCAGAATACTGATTCACATATCCTACAACTGACTTAGAAAATACTGAGATGTGAGAAGCTTAGTGCAAGTCATTTTATTTACTTATTCATTTATTTACTTATTTACCTATTTATTTATTTGAGAGAGAGAGTGTGCACATATGAGCGGGAGGGGCAGAAGGCGAGGGAGAGAGTGAGAGAATCTAAAGCAGACTCCACACTGAGCACCGAGCCTGGTACAGGGCTCAGTCTCAGGACTCTGAGATTAAGACCTGACCCCAAACCAAGAGTCAGATGCTTAACTGACTGTGCCACCCAGGTGCCCCCATGTAAGTCATTTATTAAGGTGGTTTCACCCAAAGGTACACATTGAGATTAAAATGACATAGTTGGGTGAGCATGCGATAATTGATTATAGGGAGTGGACTCAAGTTTTTCTATTCTAAGTATCTCTGTAAACCATATTTAACTTTTTTAAAAAATTAGTAAATTGAAGTAACTTTTTAAGTGGCCTGTAGGAAATATTTGTCAGAATAGAATAAAAGTTGCATGATCTTGTTTACATGATTTATATTATGGTGATCAAAATTACTGGAATTGCAGTACCCATGCAGCCTTCCCTGTGGTTGTGGTTTTTAAAACTGAAGTTCTTTGCCCAAAACTTCCCGGAGGGCTCCCCTACCCCACCTCGCCCCCTAAGCCCACCTGCAGTCTGCAGGTCTGTCTATAGGACAGGAGGGGCAAATACAGCTCTTACCAGCACCTTGCCCCCTCTTGTGTGAATGGGAAATTGACAGTCTCGATGGGATACAAATCTCAAGGGAGAAAAAAAATTCGAGTTTAAATCTGCACTGGGCTTTGTATCCTAATAAAAAGTGATTAAAATCCTTGCTAGAATCACCATGCCATATGTAGAATATTGTGTACCTTTTTATTAGTCTTTACAAGATGTTATCCTTCAGAGGTTTAGAGTATTTATTTTCTCTGGAGCCCGAGGCTGGCCGCCTTTCAGAGGGAGCTCTGCTGTTAGTTGCTGTTCGTGATGGTTGTAATTTTAAAGACGCGAAGCCAAGGATGATCTCTTAAATTGCCTCTAATCTTGCCAGCTTTTCTAAAAGAAGTCTATGGTCATCTCTAAAGAACTAATTTTCTGGATATCGTGTCAGTGATGTGATAGAAGGCAGAGTTTTCCCACTCCACACTTAAAATACGTAATCCTGTGTATCATCACTTAGTTCTTAACTCAGGCTTATAAAAAATTTTGGCCAACAGAAATATTAACCTGTCCTCATTTTTAACGTGTAAAGCAATTCTAGAGTCCTCTTCTTTGAATAAAATTATCTGAGTTGATGAAAGGATCATGAAACCCCAAGGATACATGAACATTTAGACGAAAGCAGCAGGAACATGAGAGAGGGGACATCTGTCAGAGCTGTGGCCTGGCATGGGTCCAAGGATGACCCACACCCTTCCCTGGATTCAGTCTATTATCACCAAAAATACAACTGTTATTAGTCTGCATAACTCAGTACAGTTTAAAATATAATCTTTAGAATATTCAAATCGAGCCTTCTGTGTGAAGTCAGAATTTGTTTCCATGAGTGCTAAGTGCATTATTTGAGGGTAAACTGTTGATTTAACGTCCATACGAGTAGTCCTATATGGCAACCTGTGGCAGGCACTCAATAAAGGCTTTCTTTTTTTCCTTTTTATTACAGTGTTTCTAAGACCTCAGAGAAATTTGGAATCTATAGACCCACAGTTTACAATTCGGAGGAAAATGGAACAGATGAGAGAGGAGAAGGAACTGGTGGAACAGCTCCGTGAGGTACCCCAGAAACAGTCCCTCCCCGAGTACCTGTTCTCACCCAGAAACAGTCCCTCCCCGAATACCCGTTCTCACCCAGAAACAGTCCCTCCCCGAACACCCGTTCTCACCCAGAAACAGTCCCTCCCCGAATACCCGTTCTCACCCAGAAACAGTCCCTCCCCAAATACCCGTTCTCACCCAGAAACAGTCCCTCCCCAAATACTCCTTTTCACCTAGAGACAATCCATCCCTGAGTACCCATTCTCACCCAGAAACAGTCCATCCCTGAATACCTGTTTTCACCCAGAAACAGTCCGTCCCTGAATACCCATTTTCAGAATTGAGGCAGCATTCTATACGTTTGAAAAATAGACTTTGAAGCGCTGCCAAAAGGCCTCATTTCAAATCCAGCCAGGTCACCTCCTGACTGATATTGGGCAAGTCACATAACATCCCTGATTTCAGGTTTTTTCATGCATTAAAACAATACTTCCCATCCTAGTGGGGTTTTGTGAGGAATATATGAGATAATGGAAGTTGAAATACATATGGATAAAACCTAGTATTGTTTCAATTCAGGTATGCTCTACAATAATACACTGTCATTCTTTTACTTAGCAATAACATTCCATTAATTTAAAAATGTTTATTCTTACCCTACTTTGTATTCCAACTGATCAGAACTTTGTAATCAGGCATTTAAGCAAAGCATTTGAGTTCCTACCCAGAATGAAGTCTTGTGCTAGGTGCCAATGAAGATTTTAAGCTTGGTGATGGCAGGGAACATGGCTATCTTATTCTTTGTATTTCTGTTCCCACACAGCTTCTGGTGGGCACTCTGGAGGTATTTGTCTATCCTCATGGATACCTCTTGTATCTAGTTCAAGAGCTCATATATGAATATATGAAAGATCAAATAGCAGTGCATGGGTCAGTCGCCAGAGAACACACAGATATTAATTATTAAAGTCAGCGCACCATGAACTGCTTCCTAAGTTCTTTATATTCAAGGACAATTACCATAGCCATGGACCAGAAGAGTATAAGAAAGTCTAGAGGGGATAGATTTAAGGTACATCTTCTTCAATCACTGGGTGATTGACTGCTACTGTGTACCAGGCAGTATTCTAGGAGATGGATATAGGAGAGAACATAAAGGTCCCTGCTGTCATGAAGCCCGTAGTCTATGAAAAGAGATAGTAAATGAGAAGGAAACAAATAAACATATAATTTTAGATGGCAACGAGTTCTGCAAATGAGAACTGAATCCCGTAAATAAAATCAAAGTTAAATTAAATTAAGGTAGGTCCACATCTTTGTTGCTACAGATGATACTTTATATATGGTTTAGCAGGGGGTCAGGAGGAAAGAATTAAAAACACAGAAACCCCTTCCCACTGCTTTAAGTCACTGTGGTTGGCTCAACAGTCCAGGGAGAAAGACCTCTGTGGTTTGCCTAGAGTATTTGCATGTGCTGTAAATTTGGGAGGTGAACTTTCAGAGGAAGTGAAAATAAGATCAGAAGCTGAGACATGCCTCTCAAAGAGTGACAGTTTTATTTTAAAGTGTGGGTTATACTGGTTGTTTACATTTTCATTTTATAAAATAAGGGACCGAAAGAGTGTACAGAAGAAAAGTAGGTGTCTACACACAGGACCGTTCTGAGGAGGAATCACGTGACACTGTTTTATGCACTGGGTTTCTAGAGCTTCATTTATTCCAAATCTCCAAATTAAGTCATTCTTTCTTGGGCTGTTATCCATTTAACAGGAGCCACTGTTATAAAACAGAAACTTGTATTTGAAGTTCAGAAAGTTAATTTCTCTACTTCTGCTTCTGAGAAGATGGAACAGACCTACTTTTCCCTGTTACCCTCACTAAGTACAAGTAAAAACCATGGACGTTATATATAAAATAAACATAAGAACACTCAGAAAGGTGGAGAGAAGACAGCGGTCTGGCTAGGGCCCCTCGGGACTAGAAATGACACCATGGTGAGCTCTGTGGGTTTTCTTTTTTGCCTCATATATTTCAGATCTGGAGCTGAAGTAGTTGGAAACCCAGAAATGCTAATGGGCACAATTTCTTTTAAAAGGCCACCCAAAAGCCATGGGATCTCTGTATTATTTCTTGTCACTGAGTATGAATTTATAATTATCTCAAAATAGAAAGTTCAATTTTTTTTTTAAGGGAGAAAAATTGATTTCTCAGCTAAAACATAATCTAAGAGAAAAGCATCCCTTAGTCCCTCCTCTGCCCCTGGCTGCCTGTCAGAACCAGTTGGACCTGCTTTCTGTTGGTCACCTCATTCTGGTTTTATATTTCCATAGCCAAGGCTGAGGCAACATTGAACTCAAGAAGTAATCCGGTATTCCATTCACTCAACTTATTCAAAAATTTTAGGCACAGCTGAATTTGTTTTTCTACAGCAGGGTTTTTACTGTAATATCTTTTGAAAAAAGTTCAGTAATGTCAGTGTTTTCCAAGTGTTCCTATTGTTCTTCCTCATAATGAAGTTAATGTCTCAATTCATAAATACCTGTAACTCTGTTTGACCCTCCATTGCCTGATGACACCTGGCTTCCCTCTGATTGCTCCTGCAGAGCATCGAGATGAGACTCAAGGTCAGCCTGCACGAAGACCTGGGGGCCGCACTCATGGACGGCGTGGTCCTCTGCCACCTGGTCAATCACATCCGCCCGCGATCCGTCGCAAGCATCCACGTCCCCTCACCAGCAGTTGTAAGTAACACCAGATAAAGGGAAACTAACTTTCACATAAGACAGATTCTGGGGGGACAGTGTTGCTTGTTAAAGTTGCTGCCAGGGTTCTCCAGGACCTCAACAACTGGAAGAGTGGAAAAGAAAAAGCTCTGAATGAAGCAACATTTTCACCTAAAAAGGGAGAATATATAAATATGTAAGTGCCAGGAAAAGAATTTATTTCAAAGATAAAGCACATCACGTTAAAGGACTTACTGGTTGGGGCACTAACTTTTAAGACTGTAAGGACATAAAGATTCATTTCTCACTAGGGGTTATTTAAACAGTGAGAAGTCTTTCCAGGAAGCTTTTTTGGTTGGTGGCTTCTCTGCTAAATGGAATCTCTTTCCTTTATTAGTCACTGAGGATTTTAGGATGACTCTGGAAAGATGTGGGTTCTCTGTAAAATGGCATTTTAAATAACCCGTCAAGCCAGAGGTTGGTCAGCCAGGCATTGGGCCCCACTTTGCTCGGGGTACACGAGATACTGGGGCAGCAGTGAGACAGGCTGATCGCTGAGACTTGGCTAATAGCCTGAAACTCCTCATGTCTGCTGTAGGGGAGATGAAGCTGGCGGTGGGAGCCACTGCCTGTAGGTCACAGAGCTACGGGGTCACTCTTATGGTCATTCAGTTGAGGGTGGGGGAATCAGGGCACAGCTTGTCTTTGGAGCCGAGGTCAGGTTCAGGCAAGCGGAGGAGAAAGAAGAATTTCTGTCCACACTCTTTGCTGTTCTTAGGAGCGGCAGAAGAGTTTAGGGGCTAAGGACGCAGGGTTTGGGTTCAAACTCCACATCTACTTGTCAGCCGTATGACAAGTATTTAACCTCTTTTTACCTTGACTTGTTCTCTATCATGGAAGTGTTCCTGTGAGGATAAAATAAGGCTACTGCCTACGACACATGCACAAATGTAAGCCGTTGTTGTCATTTGTCTATAGAACAGATTTTCAAAATTCAGAGCCCCAATGTCAAGGCACAATGCTCATAAAATATCACATAATGAACATTTTTCTACCTCCCTCACCCCCAGGAAAGCCTCACGATGGCCTTATCTTTTTCTCTCTTTTCTTTTTAAATTTACATTCAATAGCTGACATTTTCAGATGTGGTGTTCAATAATTCATCAGTTGCGCCTAACACTCAGTGCTTATCACATTGGGTGATGGGCATTAAGGAGGTCACAATGGTATTTTTTATGCTTTCTTTTCTCTTGGCAGCAGGAGAGATTAACTGAGGATCCCGTTCCAACTGTCAGTTTCCTTTCTATATTGTGGAACATATTCTTCCTCTGAAAAGTTGTACCACTTTTGCCTCAGAAATCAGAGGGGAGGGGCGCCTGGGTGGCTCAGTGGGTAAATTGTCTTCCTTGGGCTCAGGTCATGATCCCAGGGGCCTGGGATCAAGTCCCACACTGGGCTCCCTACTCAGCAGGGATCCTGCTTCTCCCTCTCCCTCTGCCCCTGCGCCCTGCTCTTGCTGTCTCTCAGTATCTCTCTCTCTCAAATAAATAAATAAAATCTTTAAAAAAAAATTATGGGGGGGGAGATCAATTTGTCTTCTCCTTCAAATCTGTCTCTAGCTTGCCTTAGTTTGGGCAGCAAATTCTGTCCTGTAATCCAGTATGAAACTTTCCATTGTTTTCTACAAATAAGGTCCAAACTGCTGTAAAGTTGTCTGAGCCATGTGCCAAATTCTCATTTCATAATTCTTTCCAAATTATAAGAGAGAAACCATGACTCCTCATAGCTTCCAATTTGAATTTACAATTATATTAATCATAGTGAATATGAATCATGTATGTAAGCATTTATATATATATATATATATGTTTTATTATGTTATGTTAATCACCGTACATCATTAGTTTTTATTAAGCCTTCAGGAAACATGCTGCGTTCTTCTAGAAATCTTTTGGTTGTCAACCTATTTTCTTTTTTATTTATTTATTTTTAAAGATTTTACTTGTTTATTTGAGACAGAGACAGAGAAAGCATAAGGCGTAAGCAGAGGGGAGAGGCAGAGGGAGAGGGAGAAGCAGACTCCCCACTGAGCAAGGAGCTGGATGCGGGGCTCGATCCCCGGACCTTGAGATCATGACCTGAGCTGAAGTCAGATGCTTAACGGACTGAGCCACCCAGGAGCCCCTATTTTCTTTTCTAAATAATTTTTTTAATTGAAAAAATAATGGGAAATAATGCCCAACTAGAGAAAATACAGAATTGCAGAAGGATAAAAAAGCAGCCTTTATTCCATAAGCCAAAGACCACCACTGTTAACATTTTGGTTTCTCTATGAACTACTAGCATCCTTTCTGCGTTTGAGTTGTTTCTGAATTATGAGCTCCTCATGTATACCATTTAGTAATTTTTAAAATTGACCAAAACCTCGATATTTCCTCATGCCATTAAAATTCTTCAATAAATGCCCATTTTAATAACTGTCAGATATTGTACCTTATGTTATCATATCATAGTTTTCCTTTTTTGGAAATACAGGCTGTTTCCAAACGTCCACTTAGCAGACATTCTTGAGTGAGCGTCTCAGAGCCCCTCTGAGCAGTCCGGCCGGCTGTCCTGGGCCATATGTCATTGTCGACTGTTTGCCCGGGCTGTGCTCTCTAATCCGGAAGGTCACTCCCTACCCTCTCTCTAAATTTCACCTTGCAGCCGCTCAGGCTCCCATTTCTCCTCTGCTTCAGTGTCTACAGGAGCCATGCCACTCTTGACCCCTTGGAACGAAGGTAGATTCTGTTCCTTGCTTTTTTTTTTTTCTCCTGATGGTCATCTCACAAGTAAGGCCTATACCATACTACACTGTAATCTCCTTGAACGTATCAATAGTTCCAACGAGACTGGAGCTGAGCGCCCATGAGGATTGTGTGTTTCGCTTCCACAGGTGCACACGTAGCCCCTAGCGGAGTATCTGACACCCAGTAAACACTCCGTTTGCACCATTGTAGCTGCACCAGCAGCAGTGGATGCCTTTTCTACCCACGTTATTGTCAGCATTAAGCATTTTAATTTTTCATTCGCAAAACTAACACTGTCCATTTTTTTTTTAATGCCAGGCTGGTGTCATTTTGACTCTTCAGCCGATGGTGGGGTTGAACCTCTTATTTGTGGCAAGTACTTTTCTACCCTAGACCCAGGCATCAATCGTAGAATGGGGCCCTCCCGCCCACTTCCAAAGATGGGAAATTCTCTTTGTGTGGCTTGAAACTCACCTCACTTGGGGCTAACCTAAATATTGTGAATGGTGTTGGGCATCTTTGGAGTTTCAGAACACACCCCTTCCTCCCACCTAAATAATAAGTACATGAAGGAAGATGATGGGCCCAGAGGATTGGAGAGACAAATGCTAGGGTCTCAGAATGATGAAATGCCTCTGGGTGCCCCAACAGCTGGGCTAGCCCCCGTACTTCTGGTATCCCCCTGTCACATTACCTCTGCCCGTCCTTCCCTTTGCATGGGGTTAATGTGGTCTTGTCCTAACGCATGCCAGGAAATGGGCAAAACCACCCAAGCAGATCCTTGCCCCACTTTTGCAAGTCTCACGTTGAGGGGAACCATTTCCTCTCTAGCCAAGGTGGAGAATTGTTTGTTTAGCTTCCAAACTAAATTGTTCCACATCAGCAGGCTTTCATTCTTTCTTTCTGGGGGGTGGGGGTGAGGAGGTAGGGATAGAAGGAGTCCCTTTTTTAAAAATAAATAATGTGCAAACTTAGATTTTTGTGATGACTGGGGTAGACCATCTAGAATAAGAGTCACTTCACGGTCACTTGCTGTTCACAGGGCAAAATCAGTCTTTATAAAACATTGCTTCTACACCTAGACTGTTGGAGTCAGTCATACTTCTTGCTCCCTTTTTAAGGGAGGAGGGAAATATTAAAATTTAACAGTAAGGCTTTTAAACCTATTATGTAAAAATTAAAATGTGTGAATCCAATGTACCTGTTTTCCATCCCACACCTTAGAGGCGATCTGTAACTACAGTCAGCTCAACTGTGAGTGGCCGTTGATTGGGTCCTAAACATCCCACCATTTTTATGCCATTTACCTCTATGTTGCCTCTTTGTTGTTAAACCCTTCACTTTGGTGGGAAGGAGATTAATTGGCCTGCTGAATTTAAACCTTCATATAGAAATATATTTGCTGATGGCAACAGGTGATGCTTATGGTGTATTTGTAGATGAACGAGAGCAGATTACACAAGAGTATGATCCCATAAAAACTGTCAGTATGCATGTGTGTATGTATACATACACATACACATATATACGCATGTAGAAATTTGCACGTATACACATACATATACACATGCTTGCACACATGCAGAAATTCTGCTTATATAAACATCAGTGTTGTACATATGTTTATGTACATCTTTTTTTTTAAAGATTTTATTTATTTATTTGAGAGAGAGAGAATGAGAGATAGCACGAGAGGGAAGAGGGTCAGAGGGAGAAGCAGACTCCCTGCTGAGCAGGGAGCCCGATGCGGGACTTGATCCCGGGACTCCAGGATCATGACCTGAGCCGAAGGCAGTCGCTTAACCAACTGAGCCACCCAGGCGCCCTATGTACATCTTTTTTTAAGACTTTATTTTAAGTAATCTCTGCACCCAACGTGGAGCTCGAACCCATAACCCCAAGATCAAGAGTTGCACGCTCTACCAACTGAGCCAGCCAGGTGCCCCATTTACTTACATCTTTACACACACATACGCACACACACATATACAATGTCTGGAAGAATATAATCCAAAATCTTAATAATTTTTATCTCGAGGTGGATGTTTCTAGATGACATTTATTGTCTTCTCTTTGCTTATGTATTTTTCCCTCCAATGAACATGTATTAGTTGTGGCATTTAGAGAGTTTAAAATTTAACCTGTTATTAAAATTATTTCTCTTTTAATAATACATTATTTCTGCATATTTGTATTTATAGCCCAAACTTAGCATGGCCAAATGCAGAAGAAATGTGGAAAACTTTTTGGAAGCATGCCGAAAATTAGGAGTACCAGAGGTAACGTCAAACTTAGTCCCAATAACTATGTTTTGGTGCAGATTTCATTTAATATATGTGTTCGAACGCACTGAATGGATGTACAGCTTTGCACATCCTTTTTAGTCTCAGTCTTTCTTGAGGAATAATATGAAATAAGTTAATACAAAATTTTAGTTTAAATTCCTTTGCAGCGAAATTAAAATGGCTTAAAGTGGTAGGGTCAATACTGAGGGAAAAGGGAATATAATTTCCTTAAGGTTTTGAAATAAATGCAAAATTTCAACCTGGAGAAAAACATGTAGTTGGCTTGATTCCCTCCTCCAAGAACAGAAATTACTGTGGCTCCAGTGAACCTTCTAGCAGGTTCCGTAGGGTAGAATTTTGGAGCTGTTGGTTTTCCTTATCCACAGCTCTTAAGCAAAGCAGACCTGTAGTTGACTACTAATTTGTTGATTTTCATTCCGAATAGTTGCATTTTGGGTATGTGGATCAAAAGAGTCAATGTTGAAAATATAATTATTGTTATTATTATAATTAATCATTACCAATAATAATAACAATGTTTGTATGTTGCTTTATAATTTGTTCTCTGTTTGCAGTTCCATTTTCCCCATTAGTCAGCTGTAGACCCAATTGGCATTCCCTGTAGCCAGCCCAACTATACTTGGCTACTTTTTCTTTCTCCCAAGCTAAGTCCCAGCCTCAGCCTCAGCCTGATAGCTAATTTGGGGCTTTTAAAGGACTTTGCTATTAGTAACAAAATTATTTCTTCAGGAGACAAAAGACATTCCACTCAGAATTTGGGGGTAAGTTGAGAAGTTTATCATCATTGTGATAAACAGAAATGGACAGAAATTACATTTTTAAAATTTTTCTTCTATGTTTTCTAATATGCCAGAGATAAAGTAGCTACAAACTCTGTCATGAAATACTGTTTATGAGTATGTGAAAGAATTATATTGTAACGTAATTCTACTCAGTGATAGGAGTTAGGTATTGGAATTGAGAAAGGCTTATTCTCCCTCCCTCCCGTCTTCCTCTTTTTCCTTCCTTCCTTCCTCCTTCCTTCCTTCCTTCCTCCTTCCTTCCTTCCTTCTTCCTTCCTCCTTCCTCCTTCCTTCCTCCTTCCTCCTTCCTTCCTTCCTTCTTCCT